TTGTGTAAGAAAATATATAGAACAGAGATTAAGTGATTTACTCAATATCTCACAGAACATCTGTGGCAGTCATAGAATCATAGAAAATTAGGGCTGGAAGGGACCTCAGGAGGTCATCTAGTCCAACCCCTGCTTAAAGTGGGACAGTCCACAACTATATAATCCCAGCCATCTACCCAGGTCTTCAAAAACCTCTAAGGATGGAGATTTCACCACCTCCCTGGGTAGCCTGTTACAGTGCTTTTCTACCCTCCTAGTGAGAATATTTTTTCTAGTATCTAACCTAAACTTCCCTTGCTGCAACTTGAGACAATTGTTCCTTGTTTTGTCATCTACCACCACTAAGAATGGTCTAGCTCCATCCTCTTTGGAACCAGCCTTCAGGTAGTTGACAGCTGCTATCAAATCCCCCCTCAGGCTTCTCTTCTCCAGAATAAATAAGATCAGTTCCCTTAGCCTCTCTTCGTAAGTCATGTGCCCCAGCCCCCTAACCATTTGCATTGCCACATCCAGATTCTTAGCATCTGATCAGAAAGTCAAGTTCACATGGCAGATGAACATAGGCCTTTCAGATGGTCAGAGTTCCCCTGGACTCTCTCCAGTTTGTCAACCTTCTGTAGTGGGAGGATCCAAAACTGGACACAGTACTCCAGATGTGGCCTCTGGAGTCCAGAATTGATATCTTGTTAGTGCCTTCACCATAAGAATAGACTGTAATCTCAGTCCATAAGAAATGTTCACATTCATGTAGTTTAAAGTCAGCAGACACCATTACTAAAGTATAACTGGTATTTTGGCTGAAGCATATCTTCTAGGACAGCATCATGTATTGATATGAAGTCACCAAGAAATGGAGTAGCTATCTTTGTTAGTTTGTTCCACTGGCTAAATACCCTACCAGTTAAGCGTGTGATTTATTTTTTATTTGAATTTGTCTGGGTTCAGTTTCCAGATATTGGGTCTTCTCTTGTACTTCTCCACTTGATTAAGGAGCCCATCTGTACCTGCTATCAAGCTCTTCCAATATCTCCCTCTAAGACAGTTTCTTCAGCCTTCTAATATTTTCTGTGTTTGCTTGCTATACACTTTTCAACGTCCTTTTTAAAGTGAGGAGATCAGAACAGAATGTAGTAGTAGTTCAGTATCAGTCTCACCAAAGTCATATACAGAGGTTTTGGGGGTGGTTTAAACCCTTCTTGCTCACTATTCTGCAAGGGTTGCATTTGCACGTTTTGCAACATCAAATTAGATGAAGCATATTTTATTTTCACAAAGTAAACTATGCATAAAATATTTTCTCTATTGCAAACTCTTAATACTTTTGCTTTGCCTGTGGTGAAATTATCAGTCTGGGCACCTATACATGTGCGGTGAAGGTGCTCCAACAGGCTGTAATTACGTGGTAATTATTGCACTCCAGTAGACTCCAGCATCACGTGTATCAGCATCCCTGCACCGAAAAATGATGGCAGTGGTGTTTTAACTAAAACTTGTTTGATGAGCTTTAGTTAAAGCACCCCTGCTGCCATTTTTTCAGCGCAGGAATACTGATACACATGATACTCCAGGCACTTTAATTAGAGTGGCTTTTGGAACTGCTCTAATTAAAGTGTCCCTCACTCCCAGTGCACATCTATAAACACCCTATGTGCTTGAGTAGCATACTCAACATGTGCTTTTGCAGAACCTGGGTGCAAAAGGCGTTTGCAGAGCTGAAGATAAAATAAGTTCTCTGGCCTTCTGTTAACTATTTTTGAATTATGACTGTTCTACCTGCTTTCACATCAGTTTAAAAATGAATATGCTCCTGCCTTTGGATGCCAAAGATCATTTGTGCTAAGACCAAAGTGTACTAGACTGACCATGTATTACAGCACAAGCTCTGTTTTTTCCCATTTTTCCCTATATGTTGCCTATAACATGAATCTTAGAATCTAATCCAGTGAAACACACCTCAGATGACCTCTATGGGAGCCTCCCTTTGTGAAGTCAGTTTCCCTAAATAATAATTATAGACAACGAACCACATCAGAGGGTGGAGCCAAAGTTAAGAATGTATAATTTGCATTATGACACAGTCTTTAGGTATGTGCACAAATTCTGTTTTTCTACTGTGCTTCTGCCCCCTTTAGTGCACTGAATGGTAGGTGCTTACTCCACGATCAGTTATTTAATATGGTATGGGAATGGTAAGACTCACATTTCTTGGGCTCTTTGTAGAGGAAAGCATAATTTGGTGGACACAGATTGTTCTCTCTGTTTCTTCCAACTTGACTTCTTTTGTCCCATTACCTGCAACTTGTTCCTATCCCATTTCTGGGCCTTACCAAACATTGGCTCATTTTCCCAGTTGGCTCATCCTGTTCACCTACTCAGCTGAGTAAATCCTAGTCTCACTGTGGCAGGGCATTGTTTGTGCCTGCCACTTTAAGGGGCCAGAAGGCAGCAGCCGGCAGGTGCCTGATGAGGGCAGCCATTTTAGATTCAGGGCTGCCCAAATAAATAGGGCATTTCATTGCTGGGATGCCAGACAACAACGTCGCCTGTCTGCAGGGCTGCCGGTATCATCAGGAGGTAAGGGAGGAGCTGTAGGGGATGATCAGGAGGCTCCTGGTCCTGGGTATGACCTAAAACTGCACCCTGCTGGGAGTGGGTGGCCTGGTGGGGCTCTCAGTGGCATAGGAGCTCCCAGGAAATGCCAGGCCAGTTACCACCCCGGTGAAAGGTGGGTTGGGGCACCTTAACCCCTAGCCCCCACAACCGGGTGGGTTACTCCTTTTTGGAGGGTCTGGAAGGTGGACCCCAGAGGAAGAGTGTGAGGCCATGGACTCACAAACCTGTATGACATTTCCCCCAAATGGGCAATGCTCGGGCCAGGACCAGAAGGGTCACAGGGCCAAGGGGCCCATCATGAGGAACGTCCAAGAGCTGAGGGTCTGGGGACCCTACTGGCCTGGAGGTGGGCCAGGGATAGTAGCCCAGCAACATGGAAGATTGCTCTTACATGGCACAAATGAAAAGATGAATGGCTTTTAAATGGCCTATCACTTTGCTAATAGTATTTAAAGAAAACTATTGATAAAAGCTGGTAATGATACAGTGAACCAACATTTGTTAGAAAACATAGTCTGACAAATTTATGAGTATAATTAGAATATAAGCTATTAAATATGTAACCACATAATGTTTAAAAGTATTCAAGCTCAGCACCAGCCTTTGTCTATTTTTGTTTGGTTTTGTTTTGGGAGTTTTTTGTGGGAGGTGGAGGGGACAAGATGAGTTAAAAATCAAATATCCCTGCAGAGGGATAGAATGTGTATCAGTCAGTTGTCCTATTATTGTCTCTAGACCAGAAACAGTGTAACTTAGCTTTTGTTGTATGGAAATAATAAATAAAGAAGGTACAGGTTTACTTTGTATTAATAATTTCAATATATAACATTCTTCCAATGTTCCAAAAAAGCATGGAAAGAAACATTATAATAATAAAATCCTTCAAATTCCTATTTAGAGTACCACACTGTACATTATTAACATCACAATTCATAGAGGTCTTAAACACAGTACCATTTGAATTTTCACAAGAGGAAACTAGGGGAGAAACAACCTTAACGTGTCAGGGTGATATAATATGAAATAAATTTAATCCTCTTACTGTTTGAGAGATAAGTGGGATCATAGATGCCGAGTAGAAATAGTGTTGGCACTAAAAAGACTCAATGCATCTTTTTTTTTCATATCAAAGACCATTGGAACAATATAGAAGGCTTAAGTCTCCATTTCTTGCCCCTTGCATAATCATATTAGAAAACAGTGTGGAAGAATATTGTTAATTAAGAAATTTGGTTTCCACTGAATACTTTTTATTATTTTATTATAGAAACCCAGCTGTAAATGGGTACCTGGTCATTTGGGCTGAGAAGCCACAGGTGTCTAGGCCTTGTGGGCATTTATACACACGCTTGGAGAGTGGGGAAGATGGGGCACTTTAGTCAGAGAGCCATGCTAATTAAAGTACCTGGAGTATTATGTATATCAGCACTGAAAAAATGGCATTGAACGAGCTTTAGTTAAAGCACCCTGTCCCTGTCACCATTTTTCAGTGCGAGGACACTGATACATCTGACACTGGAGTCTGCTTCAGCACAGTAATTACCACGTTCCTGCAGATTTAATTAATCGGGTCTGCTGTAATGTGCTGTAATTACAGCATGTTGGAGTAGCCTCGCTGCATGTGTATAGACTCCCTGTGTGACTATAGAGACTTGGGTGGCTTAACTGTGCTAGCCTGCTAGGCCATCTAGGTTTAGGTGGACCATTAAGTTTAAATCTCAGGTCATTGTACTGTGAACTGAATCTTTAGTATTGTGTTCAAATGCAAACCTGGACTCTATAGATCAGGGGCTACTTGAGAAGGCCCTAGAAGGTATGCATTGGTTGGGTGGGGATGGAATACCGCCACACATGGTCCCACACTGCCACACAGGTGCCACCTGCCTGGCTAGACATGGGGGTCAGGGGAAGCTCATATGCAGCAGCTACTGCCACTCCACATTCAGCTGTGTGCCACCTCCCTCCCTCCCCTCCCATCTCCACATCCAGCTGCCAGGGGCACACTGCTCTGTGTCTGGCCACCAGGAGTACACTGATCCAAAAAGGTTGAAAACCCCTGATCTAAATGAGTTGTTAGTTTGTCACATAAGAACAGGTACAAATGTTCGATGAATGAAGAATTTTGGGCACAGTCTAGTTTTCATCAAGGCACCTTTTAGAGTCTTGAGCTGTAACTAATCTGGACACAGATTGAATAGCATGAGTCTTTGGATCTTCATCTTATCTTTATAATTTTTCTACCAGATCTTTTGCTAAGCCTCTCGCTTTACTAGGTATTAAAAGTGATTGATGAACTGGAGAAGTCAAAGAGGAAAATGGACAACTGCTCCTCTTCTGATGAGGCCATGCAACCATATTTAATTGGGTCATTTTGCTTCTCATTTCAGACCTCTTAACTGTTGGATGTGGTGATCTCCATGGTAACTCAAACCCCCAGACTCTTGACAGCAGCCTGCGACAAGCAGCATTCAACAGCTCAAAGATCTCACAAACAGGTAAGACAAAGTAATGCCCAAAATGGTCTTACCTTGGAAACTTGATTCTCCCATTCTCTTGCCTTTCAGATTTTTATCTGCTGGCCAGAGTCCTTATAACCACTGAAACATAACATAATAGCTTCTGCATGTTTTACACCAAGGCCTGTTGCCAGAATTTCATCATCATTTCATTTCATTCATCATCATTCAGGGCTAGGGGAGCTCCACCCTTTCTATAGTATTTGACAAAGTGTCTGTAAATATTCTGGGCTGTTTTTAAAACTTTTTATAAATTTTTTTTTGTGAAAAATGCAAGGTACAAAAGCAAAGTAGTGCTCTATTACTCATAAAGAGGATTTTATGTTATAGTGAACTACTATAGGAGGTCCTTCTTTACAGCTGAAGGAGCCTAACCCCAAACATGCAATTTAGAGTTTTTTTGCAGTTTTTTTACATCTGTTACTACTTCATAGTTCTTTATAATAGGCTAGAACCTGCTGTATCTGCCTGGCTTCGAATACCCACTCACGAGCTGCCTTAGCTCAAGCGCCTGGTGGTAGGGATGGTGAGGGTTCATGTGACCACTGAGAGGGACCTCGAACACCCCGAAGAAGGCCCCTGAACTCACCTGCCATGACTCTGAGTGTATCTTCAGTGGAGGGGTCTTCTATTGAAGGTCCCTCAGAGTCAGTCGCTCCTCCCTGCAGGTATTCGTGGGGCTCCACCTCTCCTACACCCCTTCTTTATGCCAACCTACAGCGGGCCACCTGATCTTATTGCAGCCACCCATCCAGCTCACATGATCTTCAGTCTTCACACCTTCTCTGGTACTGGTCACTATCTTTGTCTCTGCTGGTGGGCCTGCTGGATTCACCTCTTCTTTCTATCGGTCTTGCCTTTGCCAGCTGCTTGCTAAGCCTCATGAGCACCCCAGTGTTGGGATGTTGGTTGGATCCCCTCAAAGTGGTCCTAAGCCCTGAATAACCAAGAAGCAACACAAACAAAAACAAAAACAACACAAGCGACTATAACCTGACTAGCAGGCACTAAAGAGAGATAAGAGACTTAAAGAAAAAAAAAGAAAGAGGGTGGATAGAGGAGGATAGATCAGGCTAAGCCGCCCTTTCCTTCTCTCAGCCCTATAACTTGAGCCAGGTGGCATCTTCCGGAAATGCTCCGTGCTTTTCCTTTGCTGAGGGTATCTTCTGTTCTCCTCCGGGTTAGCCTTTCTCCTTGGCATTGCACCTGTGGTAACTCCGAGACTCCTGTGACTCCTTTAGAAGCGAGGTCTTCCCCTGGATGCCAGTGTTGCTCATGACCAGCATGAGGTTGAATTTTGTTCGCTGCCACTTGGGATGCCTTTTCCCAAGCGGAATGTGCCTCCTCACTCCGGGGCAGCCTGCTGCTGGCATGGGGAGTCTCTTTTGCCTTCGGTGCCTCTTCCCAAGCATAGTTTCATAGTTTCATAGTTTCATAGATTTAGGGTCAGAAGGGACCTAGTAGATCTTCTAGCCCGACCCCCCGCCAGGGCAGGAGAACAAAAAAAAAACAAACCCCAAAACAAAAACGGGACTCAAATGAGTCCAGCCAGGTAGGCATCCAGCCTCTTCTTAAAGACCCCCAGGGTAGGGGCCAGCACCACTTCCCTTGGAAGTTGGTTCCAGCTCCTAGCCGCCCTAACTGTGAAGTAGTTTAGCCCTGCCAACCATGACCTCGCATTGTC